TAATAATCAGGAACTTCTACTTCCTGTCTGCTGATTGGGGGGGGGGGCGCAATCAGCACGCTGGTAGAGTCACACTAACAGGCCAATCAAATTAGTACGTACCGCAGCAGCTTGATGTCAGAAGCCAGGAGAGAGAAAACAGGAGTTTTGGAGCTGATGGTAGATTTCTGTTACATAACGTAACGAACATTTATACTTGTGCGTTGGTACGTGGACGCCCAAAACGCCAGCTGGCGGTGGGGTTTCTTTGTTCCTGTGTACTGAGCTTCTTCTTCCTCTTCTTCTTCGTTGGTGTAGGCTACTACAAACAATGGCGAAAGAAAATGAGCAACCATGTTGGAGCTGATGAACACGTTTTTATTTATTTTACCGTGTCAGAGGAAGAAAGATGAGTCTGTCTTGGTCAGGTTCTTGCGGCGCTCACAGCTAGCATCCAATCACAAGGACGCATGAAAGTGACGAGTACTAGCCAATCACGGCACAGCGGGTCGTACATACAAAAAACGCTGTATGTACGACCCTTGAACCGGCTGAGGCAGAAGAAGAAGCCAAACAATCACAGTTCTCTTCGCAGGCGGAAAGCGCAGTGATTGGTCGGCTTTGGTGGCATCGCATTTCCTCCAAGCTCGCAGGAAGTGCTCCGTGCTTCGAAGTCAGTTTTACTAGCGGCTGTAACACGGTGGAGCGTCACAACCCCGAGAAATTACTTCTTTCAGAATTTGATCCATTCGGTCCGATAACACTTTTTTCACCCCCACTCAAGTTGGCGGAGGGCTAAACAGGAAGTTGGCTGGCAGAAGTGCACACAGTGGACGCTGTAATGCTACTGCCAACTAGCGTTTTGACTGTGTAACTGCAGAACGAGCTTACGCCGTAGGTATGGCGTAGATCCGAAGAATAAATCAGGCTTAACTGACATTTGCTCTAGCGCCACCTTGAGGTTGACATTTCAGAGCGAAATCTTTTAACAACTATTACAGGCAAACCTGTCAACCCTCCTGTTTTTCCCAGGAATCTCCTGTATCTTACAGTTCTATCCCGCTGTCCTCTGTTTGTGTAAATATTTTCCCGTAAATATATAAACATTAAATATTTTTAACATTTTTAAATGTTTGTTAGGTTCCTGGTAAAGCAGCATGTAGAACATCAGCTGCAACAGTGACGGCAAGTCAACGGGTGCGTTCGAGGTGACGGCGGCTGACTTTCTCCGACTTCATAGTCTAACGTGACTGAAAATAAGAATATTTACAATATGCGAGTAAAGCCTGCGACCTACAGTAATTCTTCTGCATTATTGGTTATAATTATTGACGTGAGCATTAATAAATTAGAGACTAATGTGGACTGTGCTTTTTATTGATTTATTTAATTAACAGCTGTATCTAGAATTAATATTAGGCCTAGTGGTAAACTACATATGAAATTATAATTAAAATAATAACTACAAGGAATATGTTAACATTATACTATATAGCCTAAACAAACACAATACTTTTATTTAATGTTAGAAGCTTAGAATATGTAAGAAAATGTTTTAGTGTGCTGCCTGAAAATGTTCCTCATTATTTCTCTTAGGTTTGATTGCAGGAAGTGTCTCATTTAAAATCAATCTGTCTTCATTTTCCAAAACCTTTAAAAGATGATCACATAAGAGTACTTCTTGTAACACTTATGAGTACTTATTATTTTGATATCAAGCTGTATATTTAAAGTTATCCTGTGCTGCAACAAAGTTTAAAATACTTTAAATAAAATTGGCTTTGCAAGTATTTTTTAAATTCTTATAATGTTTAATGCCAAACTTTTGTTTTTAACAAAGTGTTCTCACTCTGATACTGGTGGTTCTACTTAAAGCCACTGTGGTCCCGGGTCAGTCAAACTAAATTTAGCTGCTTGTTGATTAATGAGCTCCTCATGAGGTCTTTCCCCTCTAAAAATACTCCTCCAGGTGGAATTTGTGATGAGCCATGACTCACAGGAAGAGAGATGAGTCTGTCGCCGGAGGTATCTGTCTTTAAAGAAGAGGTCAGGTTCCCCCGGCCGAGGTCAGCGCTCGTCCCAGCTGTTCGCTTCTTTATGTGCGTTGAAAAGACTCTGAGGCCTCGTGTGTTTAAAAGCTGGAGCTCCATTAAGAAAAATAACCGGCTGAGGGACTCCATGTGGCCACACAGACGGCGTCTGGTCCACCACGGTCCAGCAGCTCCTCGACCATCAACCTCAGGACGAGCTGGAGGGACGGAGGGAAAAACAATCCGTCATTACAAACCTTCATCCTGCTGCTTCACAGCTGCTCACAGCAGCCCGGCGGACGAACTCTGATGTGGAAAAGATTATGTGACAGTAACAGAAACTGGACGCACCGCGTTCAACAGGAAGTTCAGCTGGTGGTTCAACAAAGAAGAGGAAGCAGGTTTTGAGACGAAGAGCACCATGTTTTGGTCGTTTGTTAGTAAAAAACACTTTTTGACATTTCATTACATTTTCAGAAAAAAAGCTTGATGTTTTTATTTAGCAAAAACAAAATCCGACACATGGTCCTGCTTTCATACTGTCTCTGAAGCTTTCAACCACATCTCATGAGCTTCCTCAGTGGGCGGAGTTTCTCAGTTAAAACTTATCTCTTAGAATTGCTTTGGAATCAACAAGTAAAGTTGGACTTTGTGTTGAAAATTCAATCAGCTTTCCTTCAGTTTTAGATTGAATACGTTTTATTTGGGTTTAGTCGGAGTATTTTTGGTAGAAAACCTTCTGGTTGAGTGTGATAGATGAAGCTTTTGGATGCAGCTTCCTTGTCAATGGAAAATTACATTGACAGGACGGATCCGTAACTTGCTGACCCGCTGTGAGCTTGGTGATGCGGTGATTGTGGGCTAACTGGCAAGTTATGGCTAATTGATACTATAGCGTCAAATCTTCCTGACGCCCATCTCCTCAAAAATCTAACTACACGACGCGGACTAAGAACTGTGGTTGGTCAGCTTGCCAGCGTTGCATTTCGTCCTACGTATTTCCGGCTCGTCCTTTTTCTTCTTCTGCCTCGACCGGTTCAAGGGTCGTACGCACCATCTCCTCCGACGCCTTCTCTCGTTTCTGCGTTTTAATAATTTTGCTAAAAATAACTGCATCGATCAGCTCCAACTCCAGCATGATCCACCATCGTTTATAGCAGCCTACACCAACGAAGGAGAAGAAGAAACTCAAAATAGTGGAACATAGAAACTCCACCGCGTTGCAACTGCAGAAACCAATGCACAGGTATACTGTAAAACTCTGACTAATGGCCCGGGCTTTTATTTGCTAAAATCACTGAATTGACTCTGTTTATAATTGGGACAGGCCTTTAATTACTTTTGCACAAAACTGAAACTACTACACAGTTTATTTATTTCAAACAGAAAAAAAAATATATCAAACACACGTCATTCATTTGATCCAGCTCCGACAGACGGCTTACGCGCTTTTATTTTGAAGGCAGCAACCTCACGGAAACAACAGGATGAGAGAAGTTAGCAGACAGAGAGCGACGGACTTCACGTGACAGGATTCACAACTTGGATTCATTTTTCTGAAAAGCTGTTTTGATTCTTTTGATGGGTGGAGCCTCACAGACTGAAGGAAGATAAATAATCAAGGAACGGAGACACTCGGACTGAACGAGCGCTTCAAGGGTAACGGGAGTCGGTACTTTTCCTCTCTTGTACCATGCAGGTTACACTGGTAAATCTGTAAGAATCAGACTTTGGGGCTCGTTGTTTCCGTTAAATGAACTGAATTGTGGAGAATCAAACCGATCTAACGATGTGCAGCATGTCCACACTGACATATTGATCAGACGTTTAAACATTAATGTTTGTATTAACGATCTGAGCAGCTTAGAAGCAGCTAAAGCAGGCGACAGGTTTAATACATCCAAAGAACTTCTATAAAAACCAGACCAGGCATTTAATGTAGTTTATTTGTCCAAATGTGTTCTTACAGCAGGCCAGGAAAGGAGGCAGGCGGCTGGTTGGGACTCGGCTATTAATTGAAGTTTTACGGTAAATGCTCATATATAATAAAAATATATAATTAATACATTTTCCTGCCAGCAACCCCACCCACCTCTCACAGTTTCACATATTTAAATATTGTTTTTATCTTGTTTTTAATAATCTAATGTCTTTTAATTACTTATATATTTTTTCTGAAATACCTTAATATTTGTATTCGTTTATTTGCATCTGTAAAGCACTTTGGGAAACGGATGTTCATTGTTTTAATCTTGATTTTAATGTCTTTGTTTTCTCCCTGAAGTATTGTGGTAGATAAAAACCCTCAGAACGGGCCAGAGGCCTTTCTGGGCCTTGAATGTAGCTGTAACTTAGACTTAGATGAACTGTAGTTCTTTCAATATAAATGGTATTGCAGCAAAGTTCAAATTAACTCAAGTTTAGTGATAATTTCAAACAAATAAAACAAACACATGTGGTCCCGGGAGCAGACTCTCCAAACTCTGCGTTGCATTGGCTGATATGTCCTTATTCTACCCTACAACACTTCTAAAGTAATAAGACTGAAACGTGACACTGATCAATAAAACATCATCTTGATATTAGCAAAAAATTGTATTTGCACACAATTACACAGTTGGCTAACATCAACACAAGCACATGATGACCTTCACAGCCTTCAGAGTTTCAGTCCTCTTGCAGAGACCTTTTGTATTCATGCGTCTAGTCTTGTATTTTATCAGGTCTGAGTGCAGGTGCTAGCAACAATTTGTAAAAATCCATAAAGGCCCCATTGTCCTGCAGTCAGATATTCTAAATTACATCCGGAGCCTCTGATACGTCCTGCTAACAACGCTGTTGGACAGGCCGGGTGTGTGTGAGAGCATCAAGCTGTGAGAGACAAGTGTGTCTTTCAATAAACACCTTAAACATCATTCTAATAAACATGTTAAACATTACCCTAGTATTTAGTAGCCATCAAGCTAAGCATATGGGATATTTTATACCTACCACAGTATCTTTGTAGTCGTATTTGCATCTCCTCTTCTGTAAAGCACTTTAAATTTAAAATGAAAGGAGCTCTATAAATAAACTTGCTCGCAAATTGTAGTTCATATTCTGAAGAAACATCTCACGTAATTGTGAATAAAACAATTAAAACATTTATGAGTATACCCATGATGAACTCGGTGTGTCTCCGACAGAGTAGGAAGCTCTGTGTCCGGGGCCCCGGGGATCAAGACGACGAGGAGACTGATGTGAAAACCAGCGACGTGGGCGGATTCAGACGACTCTGTCTCGCTCCAGGTCAAAACTGAAGAGGTGTGACAGTCCATCAGCAGAGTCTGGGAAGTGTCACCTCACACTCACTTACTGGCTTCGGGGACATTAAAGACGCTGCACTGCGCTGATCTGGCTACCTGTCCAAGAATTCAACATCTTCGTGATATTAGCTCGGAGAGGGAGGAGAGGCAGGGACGGCTCCCGGGCGTCTGCAGGGGCTCACAGGAACTTCTAGGAAATGAGGTATTCAGAAGAGCTCGGGATTAAGGAACAGACAATTGATAAGTCACCTGGGAAGCTGCAGAGGACGTCCAGCGGTTGATTGTTTTACATGAGCTGCAGCTGCAAAAATGTCAGATTTACAATACAATCAGTAATAAGACACTTTCTACCCACTTCTGAGCAGATTTATTTCTATTCAAGTAGCAACAACAAATCAAACACAACTCTGAATCAAAAGATAAAAATCCTTCAACATCTTCATTTCTGTCTGATTTACACGTATCTCATTTATTGGACATTTAGAAATAAATAAAACGGTTGGTGGTGATGGTGCAATGGATAAGACCATGCCTTTGGCGTGAGAGACCCGGGTCCCCATGTGACCCATCCACCACTGTGTCCCTGAGCAAGACACTTAACCCCGCGTTGCTCCAGAGGCGTGCGGCCTCTGACTTAAATAGCAATTGTAAGTCGTTTTGGATAAAAGCGTCAGCTAAATGAATTAATGTAAATGTAAAATAAAACGCTAGCGTTCCGAAACATCGCCATTCTGAAACGGCGTATCGTGAAAGTTTTGAAACTTTGTGAGGCAACAAAACTACTTGGTTAGGTTTAGGAAAAGAACATGGGTTAAAATAACCACGTACGCCAGTTAACATGTAAGTTAACTAACGTCACTTTGGTAATTTATGCAATTTATGTAACTCGCGTAACAAACAAAAAATATTTAATGTTGACTTTTTGTTTCACACAGGACACAAACCCCGGTCTCCGGGTTCAAAGCCCGGGTTCTGGCCCGCCGTCCACCTCAACCACCTCCTTACTCAGTCTTTTCTGTTAAATATATTTTACCTGCCTTTACCGTCAAAGACTGACGCTACAGGGTTTCCCCCACTGCGTTGAACTATGACGGTAAAGGGATCCCCAGTGCGTCACAAACTGATTCCTTGCGTCCATATATGTCGAGCCGGGGAGTGAGAACGGGTTGTCGATACCCGTCTAATAGAGAAGTTTGTTGTTTTGTCCAACATGTAAATATTGTGGGTATTGTAGCCTCGAACGGACACCAGCCGGAGGGTAAAAGTCGTATTTTTTTGTGCTGATTTGTTTGTGTGATTCTTTCACGTCTGAGGAGAGTTTTTAGAGATGTGTCGGCGCCGCTTCGGGCAAGATGACAGCTCATCGGGATGACTGACAGGTGTTGGGGTGAAAAGTTGACCGTCAGACGGGGAAGAGGGCAAAGCCAACACCAACGTCACTCACAGGGGGAAAAGGTTTTCACAGCACAACTACAGCTGTATGACGTAAAGTCAGACTCACATTAAGTTACTTCTTCATACCCAAACTTTTACTTAAAACACTTTCTCTACAGAGAATGGTGCAGGATAGGATCACCAACTGTTGGATGGATTGCCATAAATGTTCATGTTCCCCAGAGGATGAATCCTACGGGCTTATGTGATCTTCTGACTTTTCCTCTGGCGCCACCATGAGGTTAACAATTCTGGTTTTGAGTGAAACATCTCAGCGGCTGTTGGATGGACTGTGATGAAACGTGGTTCAGACCTTCATGGTCCCCTCTAGCGCCATCATCAGGTCAGCGTGTTAATAGGTGTGTTTGACTTCATGCGGCGTGATGCATGCTGGTTAGGAATTGTGTCAGACTTTCGCCGGTGCTGCAAAACGTCACCATGTCACATGACATTAAAACCTTGCCGGATCGAGGCGGCTGCAGGCGCCGAATCTGGCGGTCGCAGTTGCTTTTCTCCGGCTGCACAAAGTTGGAACCGACTTTTGTCATTTTTGTTTGCAAATGCCGCAGGATCAGTCATTGATCTCCACCCACTGTAAGCTCATGCAAGGAGAATGTTTCCAACTTGACGGCGTCGCTTTTACACCCGCCCCTGAAGTCGCATGCAGCCCACATGTTGTCAAGAAAACACACGAGAAGTGAGACGTTTATTTTAATATAGTTTATATTTTACAAAGAGCAGATCGCTCGCTGATTTGAACCCGATCACAGTCCGACGGTCGGCAAGAATGGTGTAAGCTTGGCTTTAGAACCCACTGCATGTAAACAGATTGAATTCATGTAAGTCATTAACAATACTGGGGGAGCAACCAATAAAAAAGGAGCGCAGTAAAACGTCCTGTCCAGCCAACGCCTGTTTTTTAAATTTCACTAAATAAATCATGTTCATACAAGTTAATATTTTAGATAACAAGATTATGTTTGAGAACCACCGCTGTAAAGTAGGAAGTCAGACAAATGTTCAATATGTGCAATATTTTATTTATTTTTAGTACAAGTACTTTAGAATAGTACTTAATCACAATCAGGAATACTTATTTGAGTCCATAAAAGAAACAAAAATAATAAAGTAGGTAAAAAAGCCCGTAGTAAAACACAAATGTTGGATATGTACAGTATTATTCAGTATTAACGGAAGTTTAACGATAAATAGCCGGTAGTGTTGAGGTGGAATGGGTTAAAAAACACGTACTGGGACAGAATAACCCGAGTATTGAAACAGAGAGTATTGCACTTTAGTGTTACATTAGTAAGTACTTGAGTAAAAGTATTATTCAGGTTGGGAGCCCCTGCTACACAGTAAAGAGTCTTCCAGAATGGAAGCTGTCATCTCCTCGTCCTCCAGCTTCAGTAGGGTTGACCCTCTTTTCTCGGGTCGCTGCCGACTGAAACTGAAACCAGGGCTGGAAGAAGAAGTCGAGCGTGTTCGGTTGAAGTGCTGTCATGAAATCTGAGCTCTTAATTTTAACAGTACAAAGCAATAAAGTGGACCATTAATACACCCCCTCTTCCAGCCCTCCACCTCCCCGTCTTTTCTTCTTCTCTGGCCTCGCGCAGCCTGCGATGGTTTTTCCAGTGTGAAACGCCGGCCAGCAGCACCTTTGATCCTGCTCATCTGCGCGTGTCTCAGTCTGCCTACACTTTTCCCCTGCAGCCGTCCAACCGGCCGTCTCAAACGGCTCCGTGGAGAGCGTTCAATGACTGAACCCAGATGAGGTGAGGGACTCCTCCAAGCCGCCCCGGGGCTCCAGCATTCATCCCAAATGCTTTTATCAGCTGCTAAACGGGACTCGTCCGCTGAGCCAGATGACCTAATATATATATATATCGAGCAGTAATACATCTGATGGAGTGGCTCTGTTTACAGAACGAGTGTTCTCAGCTGCCGCTCAGAGATGAAAAACGCTGTGGGAGATTTTATTGGTCCTGCTGGAGAAATTGTCTTTTCCATTGGCCGCTAGCTTCAGAGATCAGAGGCTGCTTTCACAAAGATCTCTCAGAGTTAAACCAGTTTTACTCTGAGATAGGCCTGAAAGTTGGCATTAAATGTATTTTCTTTACTTCTTCTGTGATCAGAAAGCAGTTTAAAACATATTAAAACGATAACCAGCCTCAGCCTGAGACAATAATTCACCAAAGTGACGGCACATTTCAAACTAAAAAAGCTTTTTGTTTTGAGTTTCATCAATTTATGGCCCTTGCTGATAAAAAGAGGAAAACAGATCGAAGCTGCGACACTTTTAACCTGAAACGGTTTCAACTCATTGTGGGTTGTGTTATGTCGTATTTCTGGTTTCATTTTGATTGATCTGTCACTCCAGGATTTCTGATTTCAGCTTCTGAAATTGAATATTTTCTGGTTTCCTTCCTCCTCCGTGACAGTAAACTGAATCTGTTTGGGTCGTGGACGACAGAAGACACTTGAGGACGTCATGTTGGGTTTTGGGAAACACTGATCGACATTTTGCACATTTCAGAGACCAAAACAACTAATCGATTAATCAATAATGAAAATGATCGTTAGTTGCAGCCCTGAACCCTCCCAATCTTATCTGACGTCACCTGGTCAGTCTTTAAGTGTGAGAGGCTGTAAGGGCCTGAAATAGTTTAATGGTGGCAGCGCCACTTTGCAACCTTAGTCCTATTAACTGGACTAAGCCAAATTGTGGTTTTGGGACTTTTTATTTTACCTTTTTTTACTTCCGTCACGGACAATTTGATCATATTCACTCCTCCTGCCAAGTAAATTAATTATTTCAAAATTAGCTGTGAGATTTTCAAATAATGAATTTAATATTTTTTTTATCAAAACAGAATCATAAACTTACATGTAAACATGTTTTTTAAACGATGGCTTCCCCCTATCACCCCATGTTTAACTTCACAACGTCTGCGGAGATGCAGACTTACTGAAGGACAGCAGAGAGCCCTCTTGCACGATTTGATGGCGAGACCCCTCACGGACTGACAGGGTACGAATGTACCTCAAAGTCCGTGCGTCCGTGAATGTAGAGTTGGGGATTCAGCCTCTGCAAAAGGAGGTTACTGATTAAAAGTAAGCATTAGCCAGCTGATTGTTTAGCTATGGGTGGTTCATAAATTCACCCATTTAAAGATTTTGCAAATTTTTCTTCTAAAAATAACCAAAAAAATACCGGATCAATAAGTTTTTAACGATCGCTAGGCAGGAAGACCCAGCAGGGAATGATGAAGCGGCATTGTATTCATCTTTAGGCGTCATATGTACACTAAGGTGACCAGATTTCTGAAATGAAATCAGAGGACATTTTTAGTTTGGTGGTCGGTATGTGATTAAAAAATATAATGTTAATATATATGTAATAAAAATAGGGACAGTTTTGGTTTTATAATCTGTTAAATACACCTCTTCAGAATGAAATCAAGTCATTTTGAGCTAGAATCTACCTTTCTGTTATTAAGTAGAGGCTGCAATCACTTTCTGGAAGTGGAATACTACATTTTATGGGTTGTAGTGGCCATTTAAAGGTATTTCAACAGGTAAAAAGGACTGCATTGGTTGGTACACAGCAAGTTAATTAATGTAGAATCATAAGGATATACTGCAAAAGAGATTGTGTCTTTATTTTATATATAACTCAGCAGTAAGTCGTGTTAATTAAAGGCTACAGTCTGTTTTCCAAATATAAACAAGGATATTAGACACATGCCTGCCAAACACACAATCCATCTGCAACAACAGGCTTCTATTATTGCCTTTAATCATGTAAACGTCACGCCTGAATACTCTATAAACACTTATTTGGCCACAATGTGATTATTCCATTAAAAGAAACGTATCACAAAAACAAATCTTTTCTGTTACCACGGACGTAAAGTGATGTTTATTCGCACGTTATGTCTGTTTGATCCAGATAAAAGCAGCTGTAGTTTTAAAAAGACTGGACGATACAGCTTTAACATACAGTCTATGATTAACACACAGTTAAAAACGGGGACAGCTCCAGACGTAACGGCGGACATCTGGTCACCCTAATATACACGCTTGACAAGCATCAATTCTACGTGTATAGGAGACGCCCCCAGGTCCATGTGTAGGTTCAAACTAGCTAGCTAGCAAAGTTTGTGTTTAAGGCGTTGAAAGTCCCTGGAGGCAAAAGGTTTGTGCCTAAACCTCAGTAGGTAAACACATGCATGTCGACCTCCTTTGTGTTGCAACGCTGTAGCAAACTGCAGCGTATCATGCACACGCAAAATCGACGTTTTGCGTACTATAGCCACGGTTTTGTCAAAGCGTGTATTCATGATGCCTGAGATGAGAACGGGTTGGACAGACAGATTTTTTTCTAAAACGCTAACTGCTGCTAACTGCATCTGTCTGTATCTATAGTTAGTTAGCTCGGTTAGCCGTGCAGCTAGCGGGTCTATTAGCTGACTCAGCCCCGGGGTGTCCAGAACCAAATCCGGCAAGAAAACCACCTCGGTACTTTATTCTCTGTCATCAAACTGGCCTCTGTCGGTCCGTCAGATCTACTACTACACTGGACACTGCCAAAAACTTCTACTTACAACAGGGTGAAGAATAAGGTAGAATTAAAAACCTGCTAGAAATAATGTCATGTATCCCGTCATTCTAATGAGAGAGACTAATGAAGAAAGAAACAAAGAACTTTCCATTAAAGAAAAGTTTCTAAGATGTTTGTGTAACATCTCTAAAGAACAGATGAACCCACCGTGTGTTGTTTGCTCTGTCCAGCTCTTTTAAAACCTCGACACTTGTCAAACACAACGTTTCTCTGAACTTTAGCAGCACAGTAAAGTCTGACAGGAACAAAGGCAGCAGTGTGAATGAAACTGTGAGAGAAAACTTCTCAGCAGCATCGGGTCCTTTATCTCTGACAAACAGGGATCAAACCAGTGTCACGCTTTCCCTCTTTTCCAGCATCCCCCGTCTTTTCCACTCACTTCCAAATGTCACTTGGCTGTTAGCAGCTCTCTGTGTGAGGGAGGTCTCTGAAACACTCAACATGTTGGCCGTCCTGAAACCCTCTCACGCAGCTGCAGCTCGTTTTCACCCTCGTCAAAGCAGAAAAGGCAGAAAGACGTTCTGTCCTGATAGAAATCACGGGAAGAAGGATCGCCGGATGTTTTAAAGCATCACAGATGATGAAAAAATACTCGTACGCTGAATGAAAGTGAAGTCTGAAATGACTGAGAGACGTTGATATAGTTTATTTCTTAAAAGTGGCCTGGAGAACAACAGGATGCATTATGGGAAGAAGGAAAGCCGACGAAGGCAGACCCTGGGTCCTGCCCTTCATGTGGATGTTACTTTGACACGTACCAACTATCTAAGCTTTGTTGCAGACCATCTACATCCTTTCATGGAAACGGTATTCCTTGATGGCGGTAACCTCTTTCAGCAGGATAATGCGCCCTGACACAGAACAAAAATGGTTCAGGAACGGTTTGAGGAACAACAAGTTCAAGGTGACAAAACGACTTGGCCTCCAGATTCCCCAGATGTAGACTCTCAGCTTCATCACAGAGCCCACCTGCAGTCAGGAAGTCAGACACAGAAACAGCACAAAATCCGGTCAATTTTCAAAATAAAATACCCGGAACAGACAACAATAAACAGTTAAATCAGACAAAAACGTAGAAGCACAAAAAGACAGCACTCATCACCAAATCAACAAAATCTAAATGTCTCGGCAAAATCCGGCAGGCAAAACGCTCTTATTCTGAAATGCTCCCCGCGGTAGTTGCTAGATGCACCCGTAAAGTCGAGGAACGAAAGCGAGCCACAGAGAGCTGTGAAGAATGTAGTAGAAGCAGAAAAAGGACAATTAAAAACAAGTCATTAACGCTCCACTGCTGAAATGCTTCTCGGAGGCTTCCAGTGGACTTTGACGCCGCGCACACGCAGCCTGTGTGAGTCCGGGGTGAAATGTAGTAGTCCGTTCCTCACAATTCCCATGATGCATGAGGATGAAGGGAGTTTTTTTTAAATGTGCTAATAAGTTCACCATTTGTTTGAAATAACACTCAACTGAGCTACACTTAATGGCCCGATATGGGGCCTCCTACTAGCCGGGGCCCTGGATCATCCACCCCCATGCACCCATTCTATCTGTGGAGGCCCCACCTTGCAACTTACCTGACCTTGGTGCCAGAAAAATACCTTCGGAGATCTAGTAGAGTCCATGCCACAGTGGGTCTGGGCTGTTTTGGTAGCAAAAGGGGGATCTAGAGAATATTAGGCAGGTGGTCATAATGTTACGGCTGATTGGTGTGTAAACAGCCACACCATCTAATATAATTTACAAAAAGTGAATTTGGGCTTCTCACATTTCCCCCAAACACAACTTAGATCACAGATTTGACATAAAATCGAAGCGGGAGAAGCAAAAGAAGGAAATATTGTTGATAACTTCCAGATCTCTAGAAGTCTTTCAACATAATTTAACCCTATTGGATTTAAAACAAAATCCAGAACTGCTACTAAATGAACCTTAAAGTAAAATCGTTTTGTTGTTTTTCGTCAATAAGTTTGCCATTTTTGAACAAAGTAAATTCTTGATATTTCTTTTGTTAGATGAGGATTATTTTTTATTTAAGTATGTTATTGATAAAGGTCTCTCTTCTGATATGTATCGACCTGAGCGTTCTGTAATCTGATCTGTTCCACCAATCAGAGCTGACAACGACTTCCACCGCTAATGGAGGCCACAGAGAGTCCACAATGAAAAGAGGGCAGTGTTTGAGAGGACCTCCTCCACACAGAGAGCGCGAGGGTCTGCTTACAAACAAACCATGTGGACTTCATTTAGGAGACGCGAGTAAATCCTGTAGAGAGGAAGGAAACATGAAGGGTCCGACCGGGTCGAGGTGAAAGGAGGTTGTGTACGAGTCACTGAGGAGATGAATGGAAAACACAGGAGAAGAAGGCTTTACTAATGTACAACTCAGAGGTTTTTAAAATGTTTCCCTGGATGACATCATGTAGAGAGGTGAGGCCTCAGGTGGGCAAACAGGACGTCTGTATGAGCAGCAGTGCAAGAAGTATTCAGGTCCTTTACTTAAAGGTGCAGTGTGTACGGATATTAGTTTAAAACATTTAAAAATGAATAATAGTGTTTCCCATCAACTAACGAGACCGTGGCGGTGTGACACCAAAATGTGTGACCTATCAGATTCTGCGACCCCAATGGGAAGTTAAGCGCCGGAGGCTTTGATGACGATGTGAAGCGGCTGCAGTTTGGTTGGGTTTAGGTACTAAAAGTACTTTTATGGTTAGGACATACATCGTCGTTTGGGTTTTGGTCACAGAATCTGATAGGTCACAGATTTTGGTGTTACAGCGGCACGCCACAGTCTAATTTATTCCGCTACAGTTTCACAATGAACAGAAAATATTTTTACGCATCTCATAACAACTGTACAGACCTCTAACGTTGTGTTTTGCGGGCGCTGCTGTGAGCTCGCAGCTGACTCGAGACAACCACTTTTCTTTTGAGGTAACTATTGTAGCGGTCTGTTTCACTCTGTGTCACTCAGAGGATTAAGCTAGCCGCACCTAAATTTGGAGTGCACACATATTCAAGCCTTTACGGTAAGCGGCCCAAAGCAAGCTGACAGGCAGGTTAGAGACTTTATCCTGTCAGTTTGTCTCTTTAATGTGAAGAGAGGCTGTGAAGACGAGAACCACGTACAACATTATTTATCAAACCGGGTCGGACTGGATGAATTTAGCGCGAGGAGGAAACACATGTGACAACGTCTGGTTTTCAAAATAAGGCGTCTGTACAGGATGGAAATAATATTAATTGGATTATATTCACAGAAAGTATAAAACATATTACGTGTCCATTAAAAGACAAAAAACACAACGGTAATTCTCACAAAAAACATCACGTCACAATTTTTGAAATTATTTGAGCAAAGCAATTTTAACCTAAGTTGATCAAATTTTTTATTTAATTTAAAATAAGGTGTACTTTTTTTAATGTTCAATTTATATATATATATATATATATATATATATATATATAGTGTGTATGTATGTATATTTACATTAAGGGGAGCCTTAAGATAAGTTATGCAATTGTTTTTATAGTTTTTGGTTAAAGTAGTAAACGCCCCGTCCCTTTATGGTTGAAAACGCGGAAAATGCCTTTTCCCTAAAAAATACATTCGATTAAATACAAATTAATTTAATTTAATTGTCAGAAAATAGACATTGAGCTTCTTACCCCACTCTACCCTATTCTATTTCCTATTCTTTGATTTAGGGTCGCTGGAAAAACACTAAATAAATTTGTTGACTTTTGTCGCCGTTTCCTCGCCATTTATAGCTCTACGATGGGTTTATGATCAAATAGTTTATTAGAGCACAACACTGTTTACAAGAGTGCAAAGTTCTTCATAGATAACCTCTTCATTTTGCACCAAATTAATGCATTTTACTTTAAAATGCACAATATAAATTTCCAGGGGAGCATACTCTGGAGTATGAAATCAACAGGTGGAGTCTCATTATTACACATTGTGCCTTTTAAAGTACTAATATCACATTCAAAATCTTTATTTAAATAAAAGTACTGCCTCTGCAGTTTCCTTCTTCAACCACCAGGAACTTGATCCTCAGTGAATCAGCTGCCGTTCTTAAGTGTAAAATCTCACCAGGTCATAGAAACTCATCAGTTTCCTTAAAGAGTTGCTTCCTGCCTTTTGAACTTTAAATCATCACAGCTATTAACACAAATGCCTCTTCACATTAACACCGACAGGCAGAAGGTTGCAGCCCACCCGGGTCGCTAATTACTCACCAGGAGACAAAGACGACATAAATTAAAGTGGCATTAAAGTCACTTCTTAACAGGTAGCCGCTGGGACGGATCCTCACCTCCGGACAGGAAGTGAGGCCCTGAAGACAAGGCCCTGAAGACGAGGACGCCCCCGCTGCTTGACCGGACCTCACATCCAAATCTTCTTCCGTGTTGATGGAATGTTTTGTGATGTTTGGCGAGTGGTTGACAGCATGTGAAAGTCTGCAGCAGTAACATCCTGTGTTAATCAGCGGAAGGCGAGCAGGGGTTCATCAGAAGGCCAGGAGCTGTGAATTATCAGCCCGCCACGAGGCATTTATTCATCGGATCCACTGGGCGCTAATTTGGCCCTGAGAGGCCGTTTATAACGTTGATGAAGATGCGGTGTGAAAAGTTGTTTGCATGAGTCAACAACAGAGGGGGCTGCTGCCGGGGGAGGAAACCACACGCATGATTCCTGATGGCATTTAAAGGTTTGTGTTGGGTCATTGTTAGTTGTTAAAGTTTAGCTCAGGACGAGAAGGTAACTGCTACTTTACTGAAGTAAAAGTACTTCAATCAATTAATTTCAGACCCTGGTCTCTGAAGGGATGGACTTCCAGAGGGTGGGGGCTGCGACGCTGAAGGATCTATCCCCAAAAGAGCCTAAAGTGACATCTTCGCAAGGCTTGTTGTGTCCAAACGTTATTAACGAACATCACAGTTATTACAATCATTCAGAGAGGAAGCAGCAGATCTTCTTGATGGAAGTCGACACCATCAGAGGTTTTACAGGGAAAATTACTTTAATTGATTAATCAACTTTATAACAAAACATCAGATTTTATTTAACTCTTTATTAGTTTTGTAAGTAAAAATCTTTATCTGTAAAGTAACTAAAGCTGTGAGAGATGTCAGCGATATAGAGAGCCTAAGTCCCTCCCCTTCCGGTGGACCACCATGGGACCTTATTGTACGGTAGTCAATGGCGAGGGACAACAAATATTTTGATCCCATTTGAATTTTGCCCTGAATTACAAATATGATTGTTTGCCGATTTAAAAGATCAGTTTTAAGGTCAAGAAAGTCGCAGTGTGATGTAAAAC